GTTTTTTTTTTTAAAAAAAAAAAAAAAAATGAAAAGACAATTAAACGGAATATCTTCTTTTTGATCCAAGAAATCTTTTAAAACAGGTTATAATCGTTTATTTAGTTATTTTAAGAAACAAATATAATTAGCATGAAAAAGAACGAGATAATTATCTTGATTTTCTTGATTTTCTAATAATCTTTTTTAAAAATATATATTATATATGTTCTTTTAAAACAAGATTATATATATATATATATATACTGTACAATATATATATATAATATATATTTATTATATTTATATAAAATATATTTATATTTATATTTATATTTATATTTATTTATTTATATTTATTTATTTAAAAAAAATGTGAAGGTCATGTGCGAAAATGAAATCCCAAAATGGTCTTCTTTATTTATGATGTCAAAAAAAGTGTGTTAATCGTAATTTAATTCAATTTTTTAAAAAAGGGGAAAGGGACTGAATGAAACGTGGTTTCATTTACCTTTATAAGTGTATGAGGTGTAACGGTCATAGATTTTTTACCTCGATTGACCTTAATTTGACTGATTGATTGATTGATTTGATTTACCTGATGATCCGAATTTCTGGGTTTGAAAAATATCTCCACATTATTTTTTATAAACAGACACATGACAAAGTAGGGAATCATTTTAGGGGTGGAGAAGGGGAAGGAAAATAAAATAAATTAAAATGAGATTAGATGAAACGAAAATAAGATGAAAATGAAATGAAATTGGAAATTGTACGAAAAAATAAATTTACATATTACAATAGGTTTTACAATAGGTTGCAAATAGGTTGCAAACATATGTAATATATATATATAAAATATAATATATATATATATTAAATTATATATACACTATTTTTAAACATAAAATAATCTCATTTTGATTATAAAACAATAATAAAAAAGAATGATTTTTTTTTTATTTATATTGTCTAATTAAAAAAAAAATTGATTACATAATATTATCCCTGTGATCTTTTACAAAGATCCTAGATAACCCGATTTTTAAAAAAAATATTATGTAATAATTACTTCCCAAGTACAATTACGTTTCAAAATACGCCTTTTCTATGGTATCGTATTATATATATTTTTCCATGTTTTCCACGCGAAAAAAAAATTCATTTCACGTCACACATATTTTACGAATAACCACTTAAACTATAATGGAACCTTACAATTGAATTAAGAAAAATTCCCTTTTATGGGTATATAATTTTATTTTTTCTCCCGAATCTATTATTTGATAAATTCCTAATATAGTAGGGTGAAATAAATTAAAACACGGATTTTTTCTTATTTTTTTAGTTTAATGTCTTATTATTATTATTATTAAATTATGATTAAACTTAAATTGGTTTAGATCTTCACATCTCTTATTAAAATCCTATCATAAACCATATGAAAATGATAAACAATTGGTAGACGATCATATGACAATTTGTTATTGGTAACAGTTAATATGATATTCAGGTTTCAAGTTAATTATGGTTAAAAAAATTTTATGAATATCATTAAGTTGCATCGTTTGCTTCCGTAAATATTTATACTAAAAGTAAGTAAAATAATTCTAATAAAATTCTAAACTTGTTAATAATTATAATTTTATCTCCTTAAGGTAATTAAAAAAAAAAGTCATTCTATTATTTTTTTTTTTTGTGGGGTATTAAACAAAAACCATTTCAGCCATCCCTTCATACAAAATGACTTTTGTATCACTCATCATTCAATATTTCACGAGGGATTAATGTTAGGGTCCATCATTTATTGAATAGTATAGACCCTTAGCCGAAATATGATATGAGAATATGACCTGATCGAATGATGTTGGATGTTGGATGTTGGATGTTGGATGTCGGATGTCGGATGTCGGATGTTATTCATTTTTTTGGTTATTCATTACCTATTCATTTATTCATTCTAATTCTATAAATCATTTTGAACTCTTTCTTTCCTCGTTATTTCCAAATATGGTTTATGGTAGACTGCCAAGAATTTAGAAAGGTTATTGAGTTTTTTTTTTAAACAGGGTTTTGATTTTTCATTAAACTGTATGATTTGATTCTAACCAAATTTATTCGTAATTATAATTGTGTGTCAATTTGTCATCCCATTTTACCTCATTTAATCTCATTTTACCTGAAGGTAATCATAATTACAAATAAAAGATCTTAAAGAAAAAAAGAAAACTCTTTTTAAAAATCATTTATAATTATAATTTCCTAAAATAAGAATGGTTAATTTTATAACCCTTTTAAATGACTTATAAATGACCTTTTTTAAAATGATCTTATTAAGATGATCTTATAAAAATGATCTAAAAAAAAAATGACCTTATAAAATGACCTTATAAAATGACCTTCTAAAATGACCTTCTAAAATGACCTTATAAAAATGATCTTATAAAATGACCTTATAAAATGACCTTATAAAATGATCTTAAATAAAAATGATCTTAATAAAAAAAATGCCCTTATAAAAAATGACCTTATAAAAATGATCTTTTAAAATGAACAAAGTAACAAAGTAAACTCCCCTTTCAAAATGCATGCGAATAACCTTTTATAATATTTATTCTCCATTGTTACATTTCAGATTCTCTCCTCTTTTTTTCATTCTGATATTTGATATTGAT